GATTGTAAGGGAAGGAAATGAAACACGTTTATAATGAAGATAAGATTAAGGGATGATAAGAAAGGGGTTGGAAATATAAATAAGGGGTGGTGTAGAAGTCTTTAGTTGGTTATGTCTTATTAGGCCAAGGGAGGGATAATGGCTGTACGAACTTCTCTTGAATGCATGGTTTAGGCTTAATAGTTCGAACGTCTATCGCCTCAGCTGAGTGCAATAGACGAATACGAAGTCTATTAGAAAGATTCGGTGGGATATGATGAATTACTTTGAAGGCTCTCGTTTTCTCCACTACATGACCACTATCAACTAGATGTGACAGAATTGAGCTACGGATTGTTTTTGTCTGTCCTTTGCCAAACCACGATGGGAGATGTTCACTAGTACGTTGGCTAAGCTGTCTAGTAGTACGCCCAATGAAACTGTTACCGCAGGTGCAGTTGAATTGATAAATACACATAGATGTGGCAAAACTATCAAGCTTATCCTTCGTTTGCTTCCTAAATCACGATTTTAACTAATATCATAACTACTCGCAGTTGTGAAAATGACATGCTCTTCTTGAAAACAAACCTTGTTTTAAGAAATAGAATTGATTAATAAAAGCAAGCTGCAAAATACACATAAAACGGTGACTCCAGACTGTAGCATCCCAAAGATTACCTACACAATCCGGATTGATGATACTGATAAATTTATCTGCGGATATTGGCTTAACCTTAAAATGAGGAACCTATGAGTAAATAGGAGGTTTTCTTAGGGCATATAGAAGCATATTATGCTAAGTAACTATTTTTTAACATTGCATCACTTGTATATGGGCGTTTTTTTCAAACTACGCACTTCTCCTTACGAAACTGATTGGTCACTGGAGTTAGTTCCCTTATGGGTTGCCATAGTTTATAGTCACCCATAAACACTAGTTTTATGGGTAACTATGAACAGGTGGCTAACAAAGATCAATCCATTAAGGCCAACTAGCATGAATAAAGATGACCTTGAGGTGCACTTTGCACCAGGTGACCTTGTGCATGCCACATAATCCCAGTCCTTTTTCCGATGTTACGACGCACTCTGTTAAGCAGGGCCATATCGGTGACACGATGGATACGCGCTCTCCTTGAATACGACGTGCTCCAACCGGAAAGAGGCTACAGTCAGTTTCAAGGTCATGATGAGTTCCTGCGTCGGCTAGTTATATGTTTTCGTGAATTCGATTTCCATTGAATTTTAAAGGTGTTTTTGCATGTTTTTCCCATTTTGCAGTGTGTAGATCAGTTTGTGTCACTGGATACTACTATTAAGGTGATTTTTAGCATGAAGTTCCCAGTTTTTATGTTGGTAGTCAAGGGTTATGGTGAACCTGCAATGATTCAGCCAAATAAGGTATAATTTTCTAATATATTAACTTCATTCAATAAGTAAACTGCCTAACCGTTCTGCCATTGTTTGAGATTAAAACTAAGAGCTGGTTTCTTATCATGATTGAAAGTAAATGGAACCGACTGGGTTTGCTTATCCGCTCTGTTCCATCCCTCACAGGACAAATTAGGCTCGGACTAGCGTTATTTCAGAACTAAAAGACTCAATTCAGCACCTAGGTATCATTGTAAGCATGACCAGCGTTATTTGAGAAAATAGTGGGTAAATAAGAGCTTCAGTTACCATAAAAAGGCCTTATCGATGAATAGGTTAGAATAAGTTTATGAATATAGTAGGCTTGGTGGTGTTGCGGTCTAAGTGATAAATCGTATTAATCACCGTTATTCAGGATATGCTATGAACCGCAAATGCTCGGCTGAAAAACGTAGTAAATAAGGCACAGATCGTTTTAATTTCTAAGTGACTTTCAAAGCGCTCTCTTAACGAAACAATCAACCAAAGTATTCTTTAAACTGTCGGTCTTAGCCTTTTGAAAGGAAAGGAAGTGTAACAGCAGTTTATACATACATGTTTATATTCTGAATACAAATGGAAATAAAAAGGTAATACAAATATTTTCACAAAAATAATCGATTAACAGGGGCACGTCGTAATCTTAAAGTTGTTTGCGGTTCATTTGCTAGCAAACTGTTCAACCTTCTGGTAAACTCCGCTATTTCCCGCAGTGCAGCATCCGGATTTCTTCGGTTCAGACTGTTGAGACGATATCTTGAACGTTCATAAGCATTTCGAAACGCGTTGTTTGGTTCCGGTATTAACCGGATGGCCCTCGGAATGTTGTCCGTTGTGTTATATAGACGTGTCCACCTCTCACTATTCCTCAGAATATCTAAGAGTAACATTTAAAGAAATGGAACATACCACAATTTAGATATGAGTTCAAGAACGCCTCAACGACATGTGCACAAGGCAAATTGTATGCGCAGTATGTCCAACATGTGCATTTCGCCTCGTTCCTGTTTACGAAGAATATGTGACCACCTTCTGCGTAAATAACTGAGGTAGAAGATATTGAATGGAAGAAGAAGGAACGCCTTTGTAAATCTAACACAACTTTCTGGGCAGCAAACGGTGTGAGACTCCGTAAATGAGACTTCAGGGAATTAGGTACCTAGGATAAATCGAAAATTATCTTCGAACTTACATCGTAATTGTAGTATTTAGCAAGCATCCACTGGCCCTGACGTATTTTACGCATGGTTGTGTGGTCGATCCACCTCCATATTTTCCATAGCGTCAGTTCCATAGGATCACCTTTACGTAGATATCTTTTCAACTGCCTATGAGCATTCTCAACTCTGTTGTTAGTATTGTTCCCCATGCTGATGGTGAACCTGTTGCACGATGCAGCCCAATATTTGCGTGTTCTTAGCCAGTACCTTCTAATGTAAGCACCAGCCTCAGCGTCTACAATACTTATGAGGTTTAGGTAACGCCAAAACCTTTGGCAATATACTCTGATTTGCTAACCTACCTGTCATAACTGCGCGTGTGCGCCATTCGATACAACCACTTTTTAACAAGCTGATTTGGGAACTGTTTTCCCTATGTCAGTTAATGGGAATGTAACTTACCTTCCTTCTGAATGCCTGGCATACATGGAAAAGACACAAAACAATATTGCAACTAGGGAATTCCTCCTTTAGAGCGTTCATCTGTGCAGTTGCACAGTCGACAGTGAATGTTAATGTTTTCGATGTATCCACCATAAATCTCTTAAACGTTTGCAATATCTCCTTGATATCTGCAAACGTTTCTCTCCTAGTAAGAGCAAACAAAACAGTCCTTCCTCTTCCGAATCCATCAGTCACAACAAACTGATATAAAGGCCATCTGTAACAAATTTGGAAAAGGAATTATACCTTGTTGTACTGAAACTTACCCCATCTTATTCGTTTTGTAAGTACAATCGATTCCAACTACTTCTGGAAACTTATGATACACGTCTATCATATCATTACGAGCAAAAATGATTTTAGATACAAAGCCTGCGTTGTCCTGCAAAACTTTAACTGGACCTGTCTGCCTCAGTCGATGAAGCAGCTCTTCCAAACCACCAATTTCTATTCTACTGCACCATTTATTTTGATAGGACTTACGTTTATTTATCTTAGCCCGCATGTTTTTAATATCGTTATACAGGAGCGCTTTTCCGAACTTCTCATGTGCTAGATCCATGATTTCATGGACATCAGTATTCCTTTCAATGAACGGTTGGATAATTGCCATTTCTTGTGATGATAACCGACGTCTAGATACATCGGTGGACATAAAACTTGCTGTGCAGGGATGGTTATGCACAGTTTTGTACTTGGTTATCATGTATACGTTGGATTTCCGCTGGACTAGAATTATTGACTGACATGATGTACTTTTGAACCTTAAAATTTTTAAAATTTACACACGCAGCCAACTTACCCTCTGTTCCTAAAGCCAGCACCTCGGGGAGCACGATGACTTCCAAAAGTGCATTTAAACTTCACAAACTTGTAGTCATCAGCACCGGATGGATCTTTTTTACTTGAATCAACACGATAGGATGTATTGGATTCCTTTCAAAGAAATAAAGAACAACTTAGTTAGTACCTTCATAAATGTGTCTAAAGCTTCCTTAAATTGTGTCCATGTATAAAATATACAACACAACATTATCCTTTGGAATATAGCTGTTACATCACACAATAAAGATGATATATTTCTTGAAGTAGACGCAGTAGGAGTACTTTGCAACATCATTTAATCGTTTTAACAATTCCTAACGTGCACAACACTATGACTTCAAGTAAATAAACACTAGTATATATTTCAGTGCTTATATACCACTGGCCATGACCTTGTCAATTTACTTCATTTATGCTGACGTAGTACGCACAATTCCCACAAATCATTGAAGTGACAACTTAAAAAAGTAGATTAGTTACTACATACATATTTCTACATGTAATAATTCAGGACACATTAAATTTATAGAAATGGTAGTTGAATTATATTCGCCTAGTAACCAAAATGGCATACATCCTATTTTGGACTTAAAATAAATGCATCAAAATTATTGTTGATTTATATTCACTTTCTGGACATTCTCATACATCTCAATATACTTTAAACATCAACAATGCATCCGAATAGCGTGTGACTGTCACACTACACTCACACCAAAAAAATTAACACGCCATTATATTATGGTAAGGTAAGCCCGAAATTTTACTGACTGTAAATTTCCGTGTCAAAATAAAGAGATTGGCGCTTTAATTTATATTTTAGACCGATAAAAAGCCAGCTAGCCAACAGCCAATAAAAAACTGCCTATATCTATTTTCCTTCAACCGGGAAATACCTATTGTGTGAATTATCCGCTTGGAAAACCTGATCTTCCTCGCCGGTGAATTAAATTCAACCTTTAACTTACATATTGAATCTCTGTATGGTAGGTCCAGCTGTCTCTAACTTCTGCCAGAGCTTCAGGTGCCACTTCTGTAGCAGAATCTTCCTCACTCGTTCAGATAAACAAGTCTTTTCGGTTTACCACGTGATTGCATGCTGTGAGGCCGATCATCCAGAAAGTACTAGGTAAAGTCGAAAACCTTTTCGTTTCTTTATCTTGTACTTTATCAGTCTTAATCTTGTTCTTGTGGGTAGATACTACAGCTCTCTTATTATTGTATATCATAATTCTGGTGATTGTTAATATGGCTGTTGAAAGTAGCCTTAGAAAAAGCACTATAACACCATATTCTGTAGTAATAATGGCTTCAGACAGAGGAGGCAATAATACAGGGACATCAACCCCGTCTCGCACACCGATCCTAAAGACTCGTATATATATATATATATATATATATATAAACTTAAAATTTAATTTAGATTCAGATGATAAGGATAGAAGGCTCTTGTGGCCTGTGTTAATCCTTGCAAAGTATATCTCTGCAGAGATCTTACTTCTCTTTGAAAGCGTTCACCGATGGAGCTGATACTGCTGAATCAGGTAAGGAGTTCCAATCGTTGGCCACTCTGTGAGAGAATCTAAATTCTGCACGTATTTTAATCGTCCTTGGTTTGAGCACCTTTTTGCGGTGACCCCGTAAATGTATCCTAGAAGGGGAAAAACGGTTAGAAAGGTCAGTTCCTAAACCACCCTTAAGTATACGGTATGCTAAAACCAAGTCGCCTCTCTTCCGTCGGTATGATAACGGGAAGAGATTTAAATGCTCCGTCCTCTCATCATAAGGAAGGTGTGAGATACCACTAACTAATTTTGTTCCTACTCTCTGTACTCTTTCCAGAATGTGTGCCTCCTTTTTGAAGCATGGACTCGTCGCTTGTATGCAGTATTCTTGATGAGGCCTGACATATGTTGCGTAGAGTATTTGGAACATGCCCTCGTCTAATCGTTTGAAAGTCCTTCGAATTGCCCATAGCATTCGAAATGCTTTAGCTGCGGCTGCATTGCAATTTGCAGTTGTCTTCAAATCATTGCTGACAATGATTCCTAGGTCCTTCTGTTCGTTAACATCAGGTAGTTCTGCGTCCGCTAGGGAGTACGACGCATAAGACTTCTGACCTAAGTGCATTACCGCGCTTTTCCTAGCATTCATTTCCAAACTCCATAGGCTTGACCACTCAGCTAATTTATCTAAATCAGTTTGTAGGGCCGACCTATCCTCGTTATTGTTTACAGTTTTCCATATCTTAATGTCATCTGCAAATAATAATGAAGATGAAGAAAGAATCCCTGGTAATTCGTTAACGTATAATAGGAATAGCAGTGGACCTAATACAGTTCCCTGGGGCACTCCACTGGATACTGCTTTCCATCCTGATAGTACACCGTTAACTCTAACCATCTGCCTTCTATCCATTAAGTAATCTCTAAACCACTCACATAAGCATTGGTCTAGTCCGAAACCTTTAAGTTTACTAAGGAGACCTAAGTGGGATACTTTGTCGAACGCCTTGCTAAGATCAATAAAAACCACGTCCAACAGATGGTTCCTATCTCTGGTCTCAACCCAGTCTTCCCTAGCCAAAAGTAGGTTTGTCAAGCAGGATCGTCCTGGTCGGAATCCATGCTGTTCCACAGCCAACAAGCCATGTGTTTCAACATAAGCTAGTAGTTGATCCCTTATAATAGTTTCCAATACCTTTGCAATAATGCACGTCAGACTTACCGGCCTGTAGTTAGATACCAATTGCCTATCCCCGTTCTTGAAGATAGGGCTTATAATGGCATCCTTCCAGTCCCTGGGTAGCTTAGCCTGCGTCAGAGACATTTGGAAAATTTCCGTAAGCGGAATATATATTATATACGCCAAGGAAATTAACAGCTTAGGGTGAAGTCCATCCGGCCCAGGTGATTAACCTGGCTTCAGTTTAGACAGTGGTTTGAGAACCTTTGTGTGTTCTACCACAATTGAGGGCATCTGAGTGGCGATGGCAGTGACCTCGCCATATCCCTGGGTGGTACTATCAGACGAGAAGACGTCACAGAAGTATTCAGAGAGGTTTTCAGCCTTTCCTTCGTCTGACTCAGTCGCTTCTCCACTAATGGTTATGAGTGACGGTATACCACTGCTAGTTTTAGTCCTACGTTTAATATACGAGTAAAACCTTTTTGGGTAATGCACGCAATCTAGTAATAATCGTCTCTCGTACTCTATACGACTCTTGTTAATCGCATACTTACAGAGGTTTCGAGTTTTGCGGTAGTCTTTCTGGAAGTTTTCCCTTCCTGTCATAGCTAATTGGTCCCATAAGTTCTTTCGCCGTCTTAATAACCTCCTTATTTCACTAGTGATCCAAGGTGGTTCATGCGACAGCTTTCAAGGAGTGTACCAAGGCATAAAAGGTGAAGTGACACGATCTAGTGTATCCCTAAATCCTACCCAAGCTTCCTCGACAGTCCGACTTGTATCAACTGACCAGTCAACGGCAGTTGCTGCGTTCCGGATTCCTTGTATATCCGCTTTCCAAATGTTTGGACGAGCAGATTTTGGCCTGTGTATGAGAGAATGAATCCTAAACGTAAAAGCAATGACTATGTGGTCACTGCTGCCAAGCGGCGGAAGGCACCTAATGTTACCAACGCCCTCCTTCTGGTGTGTCAATACCAAGTCTAGAGTAGATGGATCATGTTCAGGGTGATACCGTGTTGGTGTGTTTTACGTTTATTTTTCTGTTTGTTAGTCTGAATATATTCACTAATTATATCTATTATTACTATTATTATTATTATCTCTTCCTTTGACGACGATAACGGAGGACTAACTGGTGAAAGGACCAACTCCATTTTTACAATAGTAACATTCTTAATACACCTCATACTACAAACCACATATAATTAATCCCTCTTTTGGGAGTCAACCAAAGCTACGACAGTCAAGTGGTGGGACAAGCTACGCAGAGGTTTACCGAAGATCAAGAACCTATACCTAACAATCAAGAGGCGAGCGCAAAGAGATCAAATTGATTTATCCTAGCTCGTAAAAACTATATTGGATATTGGAACTACAGAATCACTGAAAGTTCATTATCACACCTTTGCTCCATTTCTCTGAAAAGTTTAAGAATGTTTAAGCTTTATGTAAGGCTGAGTCGATTTCTGATAATGTATTTGCACGGACTTTCTTCTTGCGGTTTCAACTGAGTTACCCACTTACGGCATTGTTGGTTTATGGTGTTCATAGTTATCAATTAGCATTCCTTCCATCTTCATTTTCTGATGACTCTAATCCTCTCTCTCCTTAGTTTATAATTTGGTGGTCATCTGGGGGGGGGGGATTGTCTTCTATTTTGGTAGCACATCTGACACATGGGTGTTTTTTGTCATGTCTGTAGAGACGTATAAAAAACACGGACCTTGATTATGCAACATGGTTTCGCAACATTAAATAGGTTGATCATTTAGCAGTATCACTGTACCCAGTTCCTATGGAAACTGAATTGCAAAGCTGGACCATATAAGGAGACCACATAATCACTTTCACCTGCGACTTGGTTTAGTTTTATTTTTCTTGTTTTTTCTGCTCCTGCTAAAATTTTTGCTCTGCTTCAACGCTTTAAGTGTCCCAGTAAGATTGACCTTATAATAAGAAATTTGGTGTGGAGATATTCTAGATGAGTCCATATTTGCCACAGTTTTACTTCACTATAACCTTATCTCACTTTAATTTTATAATCCTAATTCATTTACAGAAACCAGTGGTAAGTATTTCGGATGCCTGGTTGACCTCGACACTTATGAGTGTTATCAAACCTTATGGTCAAGTCGAACGACGGAGGTGTAGGAAGTTCGTATATGTTGGCGTTCAAAAACATTTAAGTCTCGCGTCACCCTCAAAAATCATATCCTTGGTTAGTTTCGTTTTGTTATCATTTTGACGTATGTCAGCTTTCAAGAATTTAGAAAAGTGATGAGAATGTCCCAAGTATACGTAGCAGTGAGGAATCTTAAATATTGTGTTCTTTTGAGGCCAAGATGCATTTGAGAAAATATAAAACAACTGTTCATATTGTGATGAAGGTTCATTTCTGTTTTTACTTGTGTGGCATTACTTCGTTTTTGTTTACAATGAGGCACTTGAAGTTTTTTGTTGAGGAAAGTGGACACTTAAACCGAGGATTTTTCGTGAAATTACTAGTGTATACTCGTTAAGCAGTTCATGTACAGGAAACACCCATCAGATGTAATTTTTCAGATGACTATTTAAGCAAATACATGAACTCCAGAGAGTTGTTTGGCTGTAACGAAATTTTAGCAGACGAAATAGCCGATTGTTCATTAAAAGCCAATGGTACTAAGCAGCTGCGGTCTGTTCAACCGCATGATTGTAGAAAGTGGTCATTAAAAGTAGGGACCCGTCAGGGATAGGTATTGGGTCATTTGCCTCTCCACTGCCACCTTTGTTTATTCAGACAACCATGGTAGCACCGTCGAAGCTAGTCTCTGACTGTATTTCCCTGTGGTGACAGATCACATTTAGGTGACATGCATCCTCCCATACGAAACAAAGCACCAGTTAATAACTTCGTGGGTGTTCCATTCGCGAAAGCTAACTTTAGACAGTTTTATGTAACCATATATTTATCAATGAAATGAGAAGGCACAGAATAGAAGTGTTGGGAATCTGCGAGAGCAGATGGAATGGAACTGGAAGGTGCCAACTACCAACTGGACAGTAATCTATTCCGGCCACCTAGAGGACAACCATGAGCACACCGAGGGAGTGGCCATCATGATGTCACCAACAGCAACCAAAGCTCTCATGCAGTGGGAACCAATCTCCTCCAGGATAATGACAGCCAGGTTCAACTCAAAAGGAAGGAAAGTTACAGTCATTCAATGTTATGCGCCTACAAACGTCTCAGAACAAGAGAAGAAGGAGGCGTTCTACAGACAACTACAAGCAATAATGGACAACGTCCCAAATGGCGATATCAAAATCCTGATGGGCGACATGAATGCGAAGCTGGGACGAGACAACACAGGAAGAGAACTCACCATGGGTCGTGAGGCCCTCGGTGAAATGAACGACAATGGTGAACTCTTCTCAGACTTCTGCGCCTTCAATGATTTGGTGATTGGCGGTAGTGTTCAAACACAAGGATATACACAAGACGACATGGATTTCACCAGATGGAAACACCAAGAACCAAATAGACTTCATCTCAATTTCAAGAAAGTGGAGACGGAGCCTACTGGACACAAGGTCAAGGAGAGGAGCAGATGTGGGTTCAGACCACTATCTAGTAGAAGGGACTTTCAAGGTGAAACTAAAAGCCTCGAGGATAGCTGGGGATAGGCCACAATGCAAGTTCAACACTCAATTACTGAAGGACACAACCACAAAAGACACTTTCACTGCAACTGTCAGAGCAAAGCAGGAAACACTACGCGACATCACTGAAGAATCATGCGTGGAAGAACATTGGAAGTCTCTGAAGGCGATTCTCAACGAAACGTGTTCAACGGTTCTAGGAAGAAAGAAGAGACAAGACAAGGAATGGCTCTCAACGGACACTTGGAAATTAATAGAAGAGAGGAGAATGGTGAAAGAGAAAATGATTCAATGCAAGGACGGACAGGAGAAAGAGACGCTGAGCTCAACTTACAAAGCACTGGACAAAGAAGTGAAGAAGAGTGCTAGGAAGGACAAAAGACGATTCTACGACAACCTGGCCACTGAAGCTGAGAAGGCAGCAGGCAAAAGGGACCTGAGGACACTATATCAGATAACCAAATCTCTATCCGGGAAGAGACCAACACAAGCGAAACCTATAAAAGACAGCCAAGGGAAGCCCATTACCAAGGAAGAAAAACAGATTAAACAATGGGCGGATCACTTCAAAGGACTCTTGAACCGACCATCACCTGCAACCCGTCCAGAAATACCAACAACAGCGCGCACACAACTGCAAGTTGACACCAATCCTCCAACGAGAGCTGAAGTCTTGAACGCAATCAACTTCTGAAAGCTGGAAAAACAGCCGGACCAGATGGAATACCCCCTGAAGCACTGAAAGCAGACCCAGAGACGACAGCAGACATGCTGACTCCATTATTGCAAAAAGTGCCTACTGACTGGAGGAAAGGTTACCTCGTGAAACTACCAAAGAAGGGCGACTTAGGACTCTGCAAGAACTGGCGAGGAATCATGCTCCTGTCGACGCCAAGTAAAATCCTGAGTCGCATCATCCTGGAGAGATTAAAGGACGCACTGGAGACAGAACTCCGACCAGAACAAGCTGGATTCAGGAAAGGCAAATCATGTACTGACCAAATTGCAACTCTACGCATCATCATCGAACAAAGCATGGAATGGCAATCAAACCTCTACCTCAACTTTATAGACTTTGAGAAGGCCTTCGACAGCGTTGATCGTGAAGTAATTTGGAAATTACTCGAGTACTATGGCGTACCCCAAATATTCATCAACCTTATTCAACAGCTGTACGACAACGGCACCTGCCAAGTGATCCACAACGGAAGACTCAGCGAGGCGTTTGGAGTAAACACACGAGTCAGACAAGGGTGCTGCTTATTATCACCAATGATATTCCTAATTGTGGTGGACTGGATTATGCGTCAGACAGTGAGTGGGAAACGAGAAGACAGGAATATCCTGGACCAACGCGAAGAACCTAGAAGACCTGGATTTGCGCGTGGATGACTTATGTTTGATGTCACACAAAATCGAAGACTTACAAGCGAAAACCGACAAACTGGTCGAAGAAGCAACCGGGAAGACAGGACTCCAGGTGAACATAGACAAGACGGAGGTGATGAAGGTAACTAACCAACAACAACAACATTCAGCAGCCAATCACCATCAACGGGAGGGATTTGAAAGAGGTTACTTCATTCACTTATCTAGAGAGCATTGTCTCAACTACAGGAGGAGCGGACGAGGATGTCAAATCGAGAATCGGGAAGGCGAGAAACACATTCATCAGCCTGAAATCAATCTGGAAATCTTCGTCACTCAGCATCACCAACAAAATTCGGATTTTCAATACAAACGTAAAGTCAGTTCTTCTATACGGATCAGAAACTTGGCGGGTCACAAAGAATATTTCCAACAGCCTGTTGCAGACCTTTATTTAAAACTGTCTTCGCTCAATACTGAAGATCAGATGGCCGGAAAGAATCACCAACAAGGAATTATGGGAACAAACAATGCAAGAACCAATCGCCCAACAAATATGCAGGAGAAAGTGGAGATGGATCGGACACTCGCTGAGGAGACCGCTGGGTGACATCGCGCGCCAAGCCCTCGAGTGGAACCCGAAAGGGAAGCGGCGTGTGGGACGTCCAAGGGTGACATGGAGGAGATCGTGTGAAGAGGAGTTGAAAGAATATGGATTAACATGGATGCAGGCGAAAAGTATAGCAGAAGACAGAAGAAAATGGAGACGTGCAGTTGAAGCCCTATGTTCCACTAGGAACCCAAGGGAGCAATAAAAATATAATAATAATAATAATTAGAAATCCTCTTGCCAACTTAGAATTCGGCTGTATTGAGTGGTATGAAGACAATTTAGCATCGAACTTATGTTCCAGTATTATTCCACTGTCATAACAACAGATGTTTTCATTTGAATGACGTTTATGCATACCTTATCATATGAAAATAAAGCAAATAAATGCCTCAAAGAACCACTCACCAAGAAACTGATTGATAGCAAAACTTACAATGAACTCAGGTCAAAAGGTGAACGCCTTCCATTTGTGTACGGTCTGCCAAAATTCCATAAGGCCAATGTGCCCTTAAGACCCATACTATCAATCATAAACTCAGCATGACACAAACTAGCTCGATGGCTAGCTGATTTATTGAAGTCAATTCAACAGAAATTTGCAAATCATAGCTTGGATGACACCTAATTCTCTGAAGAAGTCGACCATGTTGATATATCAAATAAACTAATGGTGTCATACGACGTGACTGCTTTATTTACAAATGTACCAGTGATGGAAACGATGGACATCATTTGTAAACAAACAGATCTATTGCCATTACCGGAGACCGAGATGAAATGCCTACCAATTCTTTGCACAAAAGACAACCAATTTAGATTCAATAACCAATTCTACCGACAAATTGACGGGGTCGCCATGGATTCAACTCTAGGACCTATTCTAGCTGACATCTTCATGGGTTATCTCGAACAGACGCGACTGAGTGACTCTATCAATGAAACAACATACTATCTTCGATGACACTTTTGTTGTTTGTAACGGCATAAGTCAGGCGTGCATATTATTTGACCGCCTTAATGAGATCCATCCAAACATTAAATTCACCATGGAATATGAACACAACGATGAGTTCAACTTCCTGGACCTAAATGTAAAAGAAGAAACGATGGGACGGTCTAGAAGTCCATCTACAGAAAAGAAACCTGGATTGAACAATACCTTCACTACTACAGCTTCTGCCCTTTAAGCGGGGATTAGTAAGGACACTGTACTACAGGACCAGGAAGTTATTTCACCTAACAAGGTAGGAGAAGAATTAAGCTTTGTTGAAAAATGCCTTAAAGAAGACGGGTATCCAAAAGGATTTATCCTAAAGTACAGCAAAGAAAGAGATGAGAAGGAGAAGTATCCAACAGTTGAAAAGAAGCAAGTGTTCATTTGCCTCCCACACAAAGGAGAAACAGTATCGCAAAAGATTGAAAAGAGGATGAAAGGAGTAATAAAGAGATTCTTCCCTGCAGCCAAGCTGGTCACACCATACAGCACTACATGCTCTATAAGCCAATCAAAACTGGATAAGTACCCTGTTGATTTTACCTCCAACTGCATTTATAAATTTACATTGGAAGGACAGAAAGAAGGGCTTCTATCCGGTTTTCAGAGCATATTCCGAGAAACTTATGCTTAAAAGGAAGCAGATATTTACAAAGGGCAATTACCAGACACCTTGTGGATACGGGTCATTTTGTCGAGATTTCCAAATCCTTCAAAATATTAAATATACAAAGGACAGCGAATCTACTACGATTTGCTGAAGAAATTGCAATCAGATGTCTCAGACCAAACTTATGCACACAGAAAGAATGTAGTCAATCTCTCACTCCCTTGGTAACTGTATCACTTTCGTTACCCTGATTAGTCATACACACTAGTCAGCTCAGCTCACTAAACAAGTTTTCAATTTGGTGAACTTTAACCTTCTTGAGTTACCATGTTGGTGTAAAAGCTAACACTGTTTATTAGATTTTGCTGTTTTCTGTCTTCTCTCACCCTCTCTTTTCTTCCATAGATTGATAGTATATAAATTGATGGTAACTTAAACTAAAAATTGTGATACTTATATTCTGGATGCGTTCATCTTATAATGTTTTCGCGATTACCTTTCAAACATTGAAGTATGAAATGTTATTATTTATAACCATTGTAATTTCAGGTAGTTTGCAGGTGATGAGAGCCTGTGAAATATAATGATATCATTTTATACTGTAGACTTGATGTTTTTGCGCTCTCGAAATACTTCAATGCTACGTTGGTTTATAACCGTATGAAATATTTCCGTTTGAAAGGATTAAGAATTGGTACACTTACTTAATGTGATATGATGCTATCTGTCTTCTGTTTAGGTTTTGGAAATCTGAATTCGGAGCCGACATTTGTTTGGGAGATATGCCTAGGAGATTTAGAAGTGATATTCAATACACTTGTCGTATTTATTATATTCATTCTGAGCGCACATTTGTACGTCGAGAGTAAAGTAAGTTTGGGTTTTTGTGGATAAGTGCTATTATTTCTTCAAGTCTTATAAGGTTCCTAATAATATCTTTACAGGTATTAACAATTTCTGCCAGTAATTACAAAGTTGCATACAAATTGTCAGATGTGATCTCCAGCAGTTTTTTTCTTGAAGTCATTATTATTTCCAGAGATAAACCTTACTGGGATCAATTTGATTGCAGTGGACCTACCGAAATTACGTGCACGTTAAAGTTTATTAGTCTGCTGTTACTGAGTGTTTAAATGATATGTTCCACCATAGACTTTGGTGTGAGAAACCAATAGTAGCTCACTCTATCTCTTTGTATGTTCCTAAAAGACTTGTAATTTTTGTATGTTTGTTATATTAAAGTGCACCTGTTTGTCTAAACGAGACAGAATGTAGTGGACTAGAAAACTGACAAAGTCCTTTTCATTTTTTTCGAAAGAAGCCATTGATCTAACATTCACTGGACACATATGTTGTTGTTAAATAGAATATGATCAAAGATCAAGATCTAAATGTTGACTGTGGTTCTACCTACCTTTCAAATTCACTCACTAAGAGAATATGACTAGAAAGTATTGGTTTGTATGAATTCGATTAACCAGTTACAGGATTTCATCACGAACTGACCGGTTAGAGAACGATTGGGAAACCTGGGAGTACGGGACATCTCTTTCGTCCTAGTTTGGGACTCTTCACTCTACTCACCCACCGGGGTTCGAACCCAGGGCCTTCCAGTTACAAGGCGAGCTCCTATACCATTAAGCCACTGTGATCCGATCCAGTGGCTAGACCATGAATCCCAAATCCTGCCAATCCAATACATAGCGCGATCCCTAACCAATGTCTTCGGCAAGTATTTGTCCTCACGCCCGACCTGCTGTATCCTACTGACCACGACTTCTCACTAAAGGCTCACGTAACCACCTACCTGAATATGGCCAGTTGCTAGTGAGCATCTCATTGATATTCAAGTATTGGTTTGTAGAGATTTGATTAACTGGTCACAGTTCTTTACACTCCAGCTTTGATTTTTATTGCAGAATTAATAACTACAGATTTTCCACCTTATACAAACACTACTGTATTCCCATTGGCTGTCGTCCATTTTATCCATTTAGGTTGATTAGTGATTTTCCACACTTACTGCGTAATTACCACCTCTTTCCCTAATCTCCGCTTAGTTGCCCCCTCCTAGACTGCACCGCATATTACGCAATGCATCTCCTATGACATAGTTACCATTATGTTAGATATAAACACGATTCTGTAGCTCTTGAAAACGATTTGTCGAGAAGAAAATTTTTCTCCGTTATGTCTTCTTATATTAAGGGTAAATTAGTTACCACCTAAGTGATAGTATACATATCTCCCTATCTTTTTTAAATCTAGATAGTGGTCGAGCCTTCTTATCCAAGTTACATATTACTCATATGACGACACATACTTCTGATAGACCCTATCCTTGTCCAGTAGACGGTTGTTCATATGTTGCTCGTACAGCTGGTCGACTTGCTCAGCACAAAATTATTCATGGTCAAGGTATGTAAATCTTATTTTTATACAAACGCTTTTTTCATTAAGAGTAAATGATCTGTGAAAAATCACACTGCACTTTCTTTCTGTCATTTAATATTTACTTAATAGACAAGCAAGTCAGTATAGAATCTTACAAAATTGTATAACCATATAAATTAGTACACCTCACAATAACAGAAATGAATTCCATAGAATTAATTTGTAACCAAATACCAGAATATGGTTAATTGAAGCTTAAAAACGTATCGACAACACTCATCTTCAATAACATTGTAGCTTGTAAACGTTTAAAACCAAGCAAGTGTTGGTATTTTGTGTGGGTGTATCTTTGTGCACAAACGAAAACAGAAACACTTTGTACCAGTGTTTAAAAATTCACTTCTGTGTGCAATTAAAGTTTAATTCTTTCTCGCAAGACCGATCTTGAAAAAATTCCCTATTTAGATATTTAGGAAGCAAAACGACTGAGTGAAGAAATATTTACATTTCAATTAGATCCTCATCTCTGGCTTAACCTTCATTGCACTATCAGATTGGTAGTATCAATCTCTAAAGGCAGCAAGAATAACAGTTTTGCTAGAATATGATTTCGTATTTTAATGGGCTTTTATTAGCTGTGATATTTTGATGTCAAACTAAAGTAAGGGTTTAATTTACTTGAATTCAGTTAATTTAGGCAAAATGAAAAGAAAAATGTCTAATACATTATCGTTGTTTGTATTTCGTTGAAATAAGTGGCAACATACATTTTCGTTCATTGTAATTTAAATTACTGTTAAGCACAATGACTATCGCAGTTTTATTGCTCGCTGACTAGCGTGATAATTACGATGCCCATAAGTCGTGTCACAAATGTTTCAAGGTGTATTGATAGGAGAAAGGGAACTGTGGTGACATATAAATCCATAATAAAGTAATTTTATTTGATAAACACAGCGACTTTTTTTACTAATGCCATTTGGAGCACTATATATTGCTTGTAGTCATATCAAGAACAAGGAACTCTAACATTTAATATGGAAGCATAAATTCATTGACAAACTCACTGTCCGAGTTTGATTGCATTTTTTCAGGTCGTCGTTTCTCTTGTGATTACTGCGAGTACAGTGCTACCACATCTTCCAACCTTCGTCGCCATGCCCGAATTCATGCTGGGGCCAGGCCGTATTTATGTCCACATTGCACCCATCGTACTAGCGAGTTGGATGCTTTAAAAAAACATGTATTAGACTCCGGAAGACATCCAGGTTTGCCATTATACGTGTGTCTGTGGTGCAGATTGGAATGCAGCACAGTATGCGTTGGATTTAATTCTTCGAATCTTGCGTGGCGCCATTTACTCAATGAACACTCACCTGAGATTACAAAACTACAGACATTCAGTCGAATCGGTCGATTATCTGAGAAGTTGCTTTCAGAGGTAAGAATACCCGTAGTTTTATGTTCTAATCACCACGTTTTCTTTGCTTGTGTGATCCTTGAAACAATGTCTAGCTTATTCTAAACACCTTTCACCCGTATACGGAGTTTCTGCTTTTTCTGTTTTCCATGCATAGGTGGTAATATTATTCACATTGTATGCATGAATTTGTAGACAATACATGACTGGATATAATAAGTCGGTTGGCAATATAGTGATTTCTTAACAGTTAAGTATAACAATCAATTGGTTGATCTAAATCCCACGAACAAGTAGTTAACCAATGTGACACTTCTAAAATATATAAATCCTTTTATACAACCATTACTCTAACTGGATATTCCCTTGTAATAAGTAGTTTTAAAATATGATCGGTCGAAGACCTTTGAGTATGATCGGTAGTGAATTAAAAATGTTGCTTGAATGTAGTGGGCTGTGAGTTACAAGTAACCATACCAACAGTAGAACAGAAAGATAATGAACTGAAATCCATTGACAGCTTTCAAAATACGTATCGAATAGGATGTTTATGTCTAGCTACTATGTACTTCAAGCCGTTACGCCATCTAGAATAATGATAGAATAGAAAAGAGCTCACCTTAGTCATCTTATCAACTAAAAAATTAAAATGTAAATATAATTTTGTGGAATCAGTAATAGCGTAAAAAAGTTATTGCCTGACTTCTATTTGTTACTACTAATTGTCGACTTTTCCCCACTGCCTGACATGCATTAAAATCTACTGCATATTTCAGTTCAATTGGTTTTGTGCGATAGGATTATATCGGAATAAAGCTTGGTTTTTCCAAGATAGGGATTTATCGTCAATATATGAAGTCTTTAATTGTCAGTCTACGTCGTTTTGTCTAGTTTGGATGTGCTGCTTGGGGTTCACTAAATAATAAATAATAAATTCTGTGTAACACAGATTAAAGTCGATGGTATTGACAGGAATTTATTGATTGCCTTATCCTAATATAACTCGAGGATTTTATTGTTTTGATGTTCGTATTTCTCAATAAATTAAATACTAAAAAGATTTGTTTTTATTAGAATCTTTTTGTATCGAGTTCCATCCGATTAAGTCGGACACACCTGTCTCTTACAAAAATAATGCCCTACAAGCATGAAGGTAATCTATTCTGTTCATTACCACACTTTTGTTTTACCTCAGGTTGTGATGTAACTGTTGTTACGATCTGGTAAACCATGAGCTGTCTGAACCTAATGTCCCAACAGAAACTACTCTAATCTCAACGTTAACCACACCAATACCACCGACAAGCGAAAAGAATCCTCTTTTTCACTTGCGACTAGCAATTATAGTAGTTTCCGTTAGCATAATAAGTTCATGTAGCTCTCAGTTCAATCTGCGTTAATACCAGGGACGGTATGTTGATGTTATCAGATTCTGGACTTTGATCAAATATTCCTCCTACAGTACATATGTCTGATGGGTATGGCAAATTTGTTGTTTATTACATTTGAATAGGAGTGACACTACACCATACCAGCATGCTGAAGATGATTTCTTGCTGTAAACGATGCGGTGAGTTTGACGTTGACGGTACTGGTTGCACGTTCTATTGGATTCTGACCTCCGGACTGGAACAAGGTGGTATCTTTGAAAATGTTGGTTAGTCGTTGGTATTCTCCATTGTATTTCAACGTCATTTATGTGTCTGATTCTAATGTGTTTAATCAGCGTGTTCTTACGTCTGCAAACTTTGGAGGCTATAAATCAAGGATGAAGATTTGCACTCTAAACTGATTTTCACTTAGTGACTTCACACTAAATTGTCCACGTGTGCGGCAGACTGTACCTAACCGCCTTTGAATATCATCGTCTTATCTAGAAGCAGTTTCATGCAATAGTATCGTAAGTTGAACAATAATTTTTGTCACCGACATTCTAACGGAGTGTCTAAACGTTTCCATCGAATTTTCTCTCAGTGGGAGAATGAATTTGCAAAAACTGTCCAAATCATCTGCACCTAACTACCGAAAGGAGCAATCTAACCTTTCAGCCATAGTATATGCTCCTGAGATCCAATTTAAGTAGGTTTTCGTATCCGTGATACAAAGCATCAGACGTAATTTGTGAGTTTTGGGTTATAAATAATTTCTAATATGTCTATCCTAACATTGTCATTTTCTGTAGAGGAGTCTGCGGGGCATGATATCTTCAAATCATCAAGCGACTCCATAGTTTTAGGCTAGTGCTGCATCACTTTTTCTAAGCGTAAATGACTCATATATACTTTCTGCCTACCCATTAAAACCCACAGCTGATTATCTATGTATTCTAAAGCAACACTTTACCTTTGAGTATTTACACTGATCGATGCTATGTTGGCTGGTGTTCTGGATTTGCTGTATATTTAAGCGATTTACTGGAAGTCACTTCTCTGGAAGAATTAAGACAGCGAATACGGATTGTGTTCCAGAAAATTACTGACACCAGACCACAGTTTAGAGCAGAAAAGCATCAATTTTACCTACAGTTAGTACAGTACTTAGAGTCTACCTTTGACTCGAATGAACAACTACATGTTCTTGTTAGTACAAAAGCTATTTAACAAATGTTGTTACCAAAGAGGTGATCAATTTTTTTCTTTCCTGGGGGTGACTACCTACTACTGAGCTGTACACAATCTACAAACTACTGAACCACTTATTACCTGAGAATTATCCGTTGGTCTGGTCCAAAGAGTGTGTGATCATAAACTCAAAAACATTCTCGGACAGAAACTGTTGCTTACACGTGATCCTAAACTACCCATTAAAGTTACAGTAGACAATTTACCAACAGGAGTGAATGCCGTACAACTACATGGATTTCTTTACAAGACACAAAAGACTGTTATTCACATCTCACTACGGCAGCAAAGCGTTACACGGAGATAGAGAATGCTCTTATCTTAGTTTGTGCTGTTTAAAAGTTTCATAGGATGCTATAGGGCAGAAAGTTTGCGCTGGGCACGGCTTCAGCTTAAAATATCTCTACACAGAAGACTTCGGCCATATGTATACTCTCTCTCCCATAATAAGTAAGCACCCCTCCTGTAACAAGTAAATGGTGACTGCATACTTGAAAACAGAAATCCATGTTCATAATTTTTTAACTTTCACCACCGAGCAACTACCGATTGCAGCAGAGCAAATAAGGCCGATCATACCTAGAGAGGATATCTCATAACAAGCTATGAGTTCTGACCGAAACTCTTGGCCTGCAACCTGTCAAACTATAACCTCAAGCAACTACCCTCCAGTGTCACGGTCTCAGCAGTGTTAACGACTGCTTAGTGTTCGTAAAACGAATGGTTATATCTTGTGACACACTGCGCTGAAATGGTCGTAATAGACACTTAGGAATTGTAAACCAGAAGTTAGGCATACTCGACAGGTATGAATGCTTACATGACAACTCAATCCTTTTTTGGTAATACTGTTGAATATTCTTCTTTATGTCAAGGGAGTGTATAATATTTTTAACAAGTAGCTGGCGCTTCGTCAATCTGTTGTAAGTTGAAATCTATCTTTATAATCGCCAATGGTTCATGAATTGATATTGGGTACATATTTATTCTAAATTTATATATATATACTTATTAATTCTATATTTGTCATAACTGCACTGAACTGAATGAGAACCGTGATCGCATAATCAATCGCAATATGCTCGAGAAATGATGATATACTGCTTTATGCGGGATCCTATCTATATTGAATCACTGTTTTTAACTGACGTAGTTAAATATACTTATTTTTCTTGCAAAACTGAAGAATTAAAACTAAGACCTCATAGAAACCCTTAATCGTGTAAACATAATGTGGTTTTGATGTTCAAATTTATTTTCTAGGGCTATACTTGTTTGTTTATTTGGAATCTTTTGCAGTTTGAAATAACAGGTAATTGTTTTTCACATGCATACGTCCACTGACAAACACTTTTCCTGTACTTTCATTATAGCGGGATGTCACCCGTATTTTGGGTATTTACTGGCCAGAAAGCGACTCAACTCAATCACCAGAAAAGACTAATGTTAGACAGTCAATTGTCGTGAGCCCTCATCGAAATCAAGGATCAGAAATATCTGGACATAAGTCACAGTTTCCAAGGGCAAATGAACTTCTAAACTTAAAAGCTGACGAGGAAATTATGAAAAATATCTCATGTACTCCTGAGGAGGCTTCAAGCATAAGTTAGCCTCAAAATTTTCTCTTATTCCATTTCAAGATATGATTTAGAAAATTTTCAGACAGTAATTTATTGACTAGATGTAAAGAGATCGCTGAAAAGTAGAATACGAATTTGGAAGTATGCGTAGTTGACCTTCTACTGATTGTGTCCTCAAGTTTACTGAAAAAATCCAACTTTCAGACACTGAGCTATGAGTTGAAACTCCGTCTTCCTTGATGAGTCTAGTATTCAGATGACGATTATGACCACATGTGGCTGCTCTTCAGGAACATCGGTTGCTTATTCACAAAAGTCTTGCCTACTAACATCACAACCAGCAATCCGTCTTTCGTTTTCTTGAAATTTATAATGCACTCAGATATACAACAACTTATGGCTTTCATTAGTACTTCAAATAAATTCTAAGTGAAGCTTTTGCTCTAAACTTTTTTCTCCAAGGCGCCAAAGTCACAATATTTGGTAGATGATACACTGCATACTGTTTCCAAGTCTAAGGCTTAAGTTTTTAAAAAGACAGTCAGAAAATGATTTAATTTTCATTTTTCTATTTTTGATTACAGCTTGATTCCACACTGTATTTTTGGTACAAGTATGGAATTTTCAGCATGGATATCGGTAGCCCAAATTTTGCAGGCCGACCATAGATATCAGGTGTGCGTCGGCAGGGGATCGAACCTCGGACAATGTATGTGGTCGGCGAGAGTCCTAACCACTGTGCCACCGACGCACAAAAAAAAATAATAAATGGATATGTCTCAGAAAATGGAGGCCGTTGAGTGACATCAAGCGAAACTCAAATGGGAAACCATGGTTAGGCGTGTGTGTTGAGAGTAACATGGAGGAAATCGTGTGAGTGGGCGATGGAAGCTTATGGGCAATCGAAAAATGACATGAGCTACCCTTGCGACTTTGAATTATATTGCTGAAAATTTGTGGTGTACATATTAGAAATGCTCAACTTTTGTTTACGAACTTTCACTTAGACCTCTGAACATGATACGACACAACGACTGTGGTGATGGTGACTGAAAGCTCTTTTCCGCAATTAGGGAACGTCCTGATGGGTATTTTCCACGATCATTAGGTAATAGCTAACACAGAGTTTTTTGTCTTTTTTTTCTTTAGACTATATTGTGTAGTTTTCACTTTAGGAAACATCTGTATGGGAGCGCACTAAAAACAATTTTTAACATTTATATGCTCATATCAAGGCCTTTATTATCATCAGAGTACCATTACGTTTGCTTCCTAGCTCCGCATCCATTTAACTGTTATTTTTTTTTTAATTAAGAGAGGTATGTAAACTCAGGGTTTATTTGGGTATGTGAGCACTTGCAATGTTACGGTATAAAAACTCAACACTTTTGTTCGATCAACATTGTAACTTCTGAATTCATCTTGATTAATGGATTATTAAAAACAGTGGGAAGTGTTTTTCTTTACTCACCACATTGCCTGAACCTTTTCATTTCATTAACACGTTCTGTTTAATTCTCTTTTTATCCTAAACCCCTTCAGCTCATTTAAAATTTGAAGAAAATTCAGATCATGACGACTTATCAGAATGCAGTGTGATCCAAATAGGTTCAGGTGCACTCTGGTCATGTAATACAACTCAATAGACTGTACCCAGTTTGTAAATTCGACTATATATAAAAGATATATATATATATATATATATATATATATATATATATATACTAATGTACAGCCTAGATGATGATTTCGTCGGAAAGAAAATATTCTTCTGATTGTAAATTCGAATTCTTTTCCATTGTTCGAAATGTTTTTTTTTGAAAAGCTTGAAAATAAAACTTGTTAACAAAATGTAACTTTTTGTATGATACTTGTTAATAATGGTACAACATGTCATTGACATACTGGTATATCTTGATACAGTGTAGTAATTCCGCTTAGTTGCCGAACTTGACATCAAATGGTATTACACTGGCTTTTATTTGCTGTTTAATTCGAATAACTAGATTGATCTGTCCAATTAGAGCTGATTTTAAAAGTAATCTAAACTGTTCTCTATACATTTTATGCAGTTTTATGTACAGATGTATACGATAGATAGCCAATGAAGATATCCATAGGGTAACCATAATGAATAGGCTTACAACTATCCACAAACTTAAACTGATCTTACCTTTCCATGCCCAATAACTTTCATGAACTTGTCCTATGGCCCTAGTATGTGTCTCTTCTCCCATGGTGCCGACTACAACCTGTTCAAATTCTCTCCATATATTGAGGAAAAATCCAATGATTAGTCGAGTTACAGCTCCTCCTTCTAAGTGACATTCTCTCACGGATGTGGCACCCAAGTTGTCAGTTGTAAAGCCTGTGGGACATTGAAGGCAACCTCCACTTGACGGATAATCTGTCTCACCTAAATAGTAACCTTTAGGGCATAGATGGCACCCGTCAAATGCATATGGTGTTCGAGGAGCGTGACCTGGAGGACAAGGATGACATATGGGAGACCACTTTGTTAACTGATATGCTGACGAATTTGACAGTAGTATTGAACTTTTATTCAAAGTGTAATTTCCAAGGTGGGCTAGCGACTTTAATAATGGAGGCGGATGGTAGGTTTGACTACCAGGTGGACATATGGAACGTACACGCGTCGGGATGTCATATATGTTCAATTCGTCTTTTATGACTGATTTTCTTATTTGCTCGTCCAATTCATCTTTAAACACCGAGTGAATGTAGCGAAAGTGATCACCTGCAGGGTTCGATAATAAGAAAAGTGGTTGACTCGACAAATCTATAAGTATGGCTAACTCAGTGTAGGTACTATTCGGTGACACAAATGGTATTTGATCAGTGGGTTTAGCCAACTGAATTAATGGCATCACCCGTAGTATTATATCATGACACGGACTTTGTTGATATTGACTAATACTGATTTTTGAATTGCACCAGGCTTTTATATCACTCAGTGTTTGTGTAAGCTGTTTCTCTGTTATGATCACTTTAGAATATGATTTAAATGCATAACTCCATATTATTGTAGGCGGAGTGTAAACACGAAAAGCGAACTGAATTTGTCTTACTATTTTGTTACCTCGTGAGGGAAAAACCCACTTCTCTTTAACTCCGATCATAGTTTTTGATCTAAGACCTATACACGATATAGTTTCCATTTCATAAACAAACACTAGCTGTTTGTTTCCTGCTGTAGATGCTCTGTATTTAGGTTCCAAATTTGGTTTTACACCTTGTTTTCCATCATTCTTGGGTGGATTTTGCGTCATAGGTATTTCACTAACTCCAGTTAACGGCATATATATTGTTAGAACTTCTCCAACATGAATCACCTCTCCTCCTCTGTTAAACCATACTGTTATAGTGTTAGCTAAACTCTCCTCTTTTATTTGAGAATTTACTAACAACCATTCACTCATATTTTTCTTTTCTTCAATCTTTTTCAGCCAACATGGCAGATATAAATGTTTTCCTGCTGGTATCCATAGTGTGTGTGTGATGACTTCTTCGGGGTTAAGAAATTTTATATTACATAGTATAAGATAAAATAGGTTATTTAATACTACTGGCTTCATTGATACTTTGAGTAAAGCAAGAAAAATAGTAATGCTGTAGATATTTGAAGTCGTGATCAATCAATGGCAATCGATAATCTGCGTAAATATGATTTTTCTTGTACAAGGGAAGATCATTCTCTGATTAAATCTCGCACTGAGACACAAAATGTGTCATTTCAAGTTGAGGAAGCAAGCGTAAAAATAGCAAAGGGAGGTGTAGTGAAATTAAAATAGGCTAATATTAACAGATCTAATAGTAAAATGACGACTGATGGGTATTCCCAGAAGTGACTGCATCAACAGTATTTTGAATTGTTTTAGGTGCCACGAAGAGTTTCCAGTTATCTTCAGGGCCCCAAAGCGACTGAAACCAACATGCAATGACTTCATATAAGTATAAAACTTGGGCACTGTGATAGGGTATAACTCCATTATGGATAAGATTTTATTTTGATAAATCACACAGTGTTGTACAATAATATTAATATATTATATTATTTTTATATATTGATATAATATCAGTTAATATTACTGTACAACACTGTGTGATTTATCAATGACTTCATAGTTTGGTGCTGCATTTTGACCCGTTCATCTCCAGCTCTTTTCCAGACCAAATCAGTGTCATGTTTGCCACTCAATTGTAGTTGTAAAGCAAAATGGCAAAACACGTGTTTTAAATGTTATGTTTCCTAAAGTGAAACATTTATATATCTCTTCTGACTTCGCAACTAATTCATTCCCATGTGAAACTGATGCTTGTCCTACAACAGAGTATTATTGTTGGTGGCAGTTGGAGGCAGTCGTCAAGAAGCTTTGGACCTAGGTTTCGTACTAGTTGGCACTTGTCAGCAAGGCGCATCTCCAACCTTTAAGGAACTCATGTCCCTTCTGAGATTCGAACCCGCGTCACCCAGTGCTGCAGTCAGAGACGTTACCACTGAGTTATTCGGTCTCGCGATCGACCTCATGTAGGACTGTAGTGGGTACTTTGATTGGACACTAGTAACTAATGTGATGTGTTTGGTGCAGACTGAATTCTTTCAGTCAGGTTTGCTATGTGACCACCACCAAGGTGAGCAACATGGAGGTTAGGCGTAGAGTTCTAGGTAAACAGGGGAAATCAATCGACGAAGTCGTGAAGCTACATCGACTGAGATGGTTAGGACATGTGTTACGTATGCCAAGTCATCGCCTCCCTCGACGAGCTATGTTAGCGGATATAGGGTCAGGCTGGAAAAAAGCTAGCGGCGGTCAAACAAAAACTTGGCATCAGTCAATGAAATCCACAACAGTTGGTCTTAGCCACGTAGGAAGGTGTAGACTTCCAGGCTGGGGTCCTCGGGACGGTAAAAATCTATGGTTGGAAACAATTGGTGACATGGCTCAAAATCGTTCTCAGTGGCGCAGATGCATCCACTCCCTGTGACTTATGATCTTCAATGAAACTGTTTTGTATTTCTGTATTACTCCTTTGTCTCACACCTCTGCTCACTGTCACTATTATGCTTTTCTTGTACTTTCTTCTCTTGCTTCGCGTGCTACACGGAATGTGGCGACTTGAACTTCCGCACATTTGTGCAAAGTTCTATGTCGAAAACAGACAGACAGATGTGACCACCATTCTAGGTAGCTCACCATCACGGTGCACTTGTTGATGTTAGATAGTTGGAGGCAATCGGCAAGAAGCTTGGACCTAGGTTTTGTGCTAGGCCATATTGCAAACCTGGCTGACAGAATTCAGTCTGCACCAAGCAAAGGACCAGTCACATCCCACTAGTTACTGGTGTCCAATGAGAGTATTATTGTCAAACAAATATATGTTGCTTATAAAATTGGTGTACATGAAATCGAAGATAAACATTTGGGAATTTTATTACAGCTATTATATTGGCCTGAGGCTTTTAAATTAACTCCAGTCCTTCAAGATCACAAGATTTGATCAAAGGCTTTTAAATCGCTGAATTACAATGACGATGAATGTTGAATGTTTGTTTTTCTTCGTTTAAACCCAATTACCAGGAATATACTTTGCGTGTACAAGGCTAAGAGCTAACCTCATCATGTGAAGGCTGATGATACTAACCAGTTGCTATTTCTGAAATTGGTGGAGCAGGTGCAGAACTTGTCACCCATCGGCTAAAAACCGAGTGCTTAAGCGCATGTGCCACTCCACCGTTAGAATAATGTGGGTTTCAATGAGAATTAAGTGAGAATGTGAAATAGATAATATACTGGGATTTCAATGAATATATATGCATCGTTACGATTTCAAGATATATTCAGTGATCTTTGTATTAAAGCAGTAATATATATGAACTTACATTCCAGCTGAATTACGATAAAGAAATAGACAAAATTCAACCAGTGAACACTATGTGTGTGTATTTTCAATGCTGAAATAATACCATCATTAACTTTTTTGTGATGAGTCATTCTTTACATTCAACCTTTTTTAAAAAGGAAAGATGCACGTAGTATTTTTAAACTTGTATAACAAACAAATATTTGTATTGACTTAGATGAGTAATATCATGATGACTGACTAACTTTGTATGTCACATCGTCATGAAAACAAATAAAGTCCACGTATCTACATTCACCATACTTATAAATCTAGTGAAGAGTTTAACAGGCGTTAAAGTGTGGTGTATTTACTGGTATTTTTGGGGTTTCGCAGAATATATTTATTGTTAAAAAAAAGTTATATTCAAGAAATCAGTGTTACTATCACGACTTAACCTTTTTAATCCTAATAATCCTTGTATAAACTCTGAATGTTTATGGTTTGCTGTTAACATTGTGGCTGTTTATTCGTCAGTGTTGTACATCGTTCATTAGCATCAGTGGCGTTGCCGTTTTTCACGCCTGACCAATTCATTATTAATTGTTCTAAGGTAAATGACTTTCTTATTGAATTGAATTTTCGATTTTCCCGTCGATTGATTGGACCGAAGTGCTCGGTCTCAGGTTGACATGTCGGCTTCTTGTGCAGATGCTTCGACGATGTCTGGGCATTTAGTTAGTATTTAATTGGTGGATGGTGACTAGCAGTGGAATCCATGATGCGCATTTCGTCCTATTTGGGACTCGTCAACTGGATGTACCTGCATTTCTCAGTGAGTGATGACGTTCCCACCGAGGCTCGAACCCAGTGCCCATAGTTTCAAACGCCAAAGCGTTATCCACTAGACCACTTGGGCCGCGAGAGCCACCTCTTTTGCAACGGGTCATATTATTATTGAATTTTTGATTTTCCCGTCGATTGATTGGACCGAAGTGCTCGGTCTCAGGTTGACATGTCGGCTTCTTGTGCAGATCAAAAATTCAATTCAATAATTAATATGACCCGTTGAACAAGAGGTGGCTCTCGTGGCCCAAGTCGTCTAGTGGGTAACGCTTTGGCATTTGAAACTATGGGCACTGGGTTCGAGCCTCAATGAGAACATCATCATCACTCAGTGAGAAATGCAGGTACATCCATCTGACGAGTCCCACATAGGACGAAGTGCGCATCCTGGATTTCACTGCTAGCCACCATCCACCAGTTGTATAAATGACTTTCTGTTTATTTACCCTCGACTTGTGTTTCTTGCATAGCCTACTTCACTTGTTCATCGAGACTTTAAAGATAAAACTCCTGTTAAGAAGATTAGTCTGCCTATCCATTTATTTGCAGCGGTGACCCTAAAGATGTTGACTAAATGAATCAGTAGAACAGTGTCTAAACGTGTCCATGGACACCTAGCTATCGAAAGGAGAATGCAAATTAACTAGAAGCAATTCTCGAGCGTATTGTTCTTTCTTATGATGTAGTATAAAAGCGCATTTCATTCGGTTTGAAGCAGGGACTAAAACTAAATTGTTGAAAAGATTTTTTCGACATCTTGCAGGTGATTTTCTTTTATGGAAGATTTTTATTCAGTCTATTTTATGAATTTTAGGCCTGCTGTACAACAGTTATCTATAGGATCCTTTCCATTATTATTCGCTACACTCTCACCTTAGCAGTAAAACTTTTTGTTGTTCTTGAGGATAATACTACCATTGCAGAGTGTTTACTTTCAACTAATCATCTGTCAACACTGTTTTCCAATGATTGTCGCTTATCTGAATAAGATTAACACTAGCATAGACTCGTACTGATTTTCGCAATTTACTATCTTTTTTCTAGTATATACTTCTTTTCTTATCGCTAAACACCACCGACTGTTAATGCTTAGTGGCAATATGTAAAATATTGTCACAAATTGGCTACTTAACTGTATGACTTTGACAAGCACTTCCGCAGAGTCCTCTTTTCTTAGATGCGACCTTTTAAATAACATCCTACTCTTGTTGGTTGCTGACGTTAAGAAAGGGTGAATGAAGCAATGTTACTTTTTGCATACCTTTACATGTCACATTTCCATTTTGTCGGTTTTCAGTGTACAGAGTATAATCAACAGGTTAAATATTAGTATAATAATGGTCAATGTAGAAAATAGTAAGAATTTTCAATGCTCAATTCTTCAAAATCACTTATTACTGGAATTTCTAAACACTTCCTAATATACCTGCGGAAAAATCATATCAAAGTCTTTCGACTGGAATGCTTTTTGATCATACAACCTATCTTAAGTGTTAATTGAGAACCTATCAGGTTTTGAATTCTTGATATAGATACCAGCGAAAATGTTCATTTTCCGAAATATACTAGTTATCGTATGGCAAGGAAGTTTGATGAGCAAACTATATTTCACTGGATCTCACCCTGAGTCTGTGAGACGTAGTTGTTAAAGACACTGAATCTAAGGAGGCATGAGATGTAATTTGGTGTTGAAAATTCGAATAATTCTCCTTATGCTGGGTGTTGATGATTTCCAAATTGATTTCAGAGTGACGAATGTCTGCCTTGGCTTTCCGATTTGGTTTTGACATCTTCATCGGGTGCCGTCTGCAGTTAAAACGACTATGCTTATGTAAGTGAGAGAAGTTACCTCTTTCAAATTTCTCACGTTAATAATGATTGGTGCATGTGCTTGTTGGTTAGGTGTATTCGTCACTCCCGTATTTCCTATGTTCACTTGAAGTCCTGTCTTCACTGGCTGCTTCTGCCAACTTCTTGGTTTTCACCTGTACGTCTTCGAGTTTGTGTGACACTAGGCGCAGATCACCGGCGAGATCCAAACCTTCTAGAGTCTTTTCGTGGTTCAACGTATTCCTGTCTACTTGCTCCCCACAATCTGTCGCATAATCCAGTCCACCACAATTAGAATTTTCATCAGTGACAATAGGCAGTCTTATTTTACTCCTGTCATCACTTCACAGGTTTCACTGAGTTTTCCGTCGTGAATCACTTGACACGTGGTATTGTCATTTAGCTGTTGAATGAGTTCGATGAAGATTTGGGACGCTCAGTGGTGGTGAAGTAAGTGGCTCCTGTTTGTCAGCGTGAATGATGTATATCATGTTCAGATTAGCCAAAAGTTCATGACAAACATTTTTATTGTTAACTACCAATCGTGCCACAGTATAAGAAGATTGATCACAAAGAAAAATGCTGGTCATCCTATGGTTAGATAAATTCACTCGTGACCGAGACTAAGCCATCGAAAAAACTGATTCACACGCAAAGCTATACGTGCGACTAAAGCAAACATTCCTAATATCAAGTTAATGTCAGATGCAACCTTTTAATCTTATTACATTTCTCACAAAGTTGTATATATTTCTAGCTAACTGAACACTAAGTACTTTTTAAATGAATGTTTTAGACATTTCATAATCTATATCGTCAAATAGAAATAACCACGGAGGGTTTCGGCATATCTTATCTGTTTGATGCCAATAACCAAAATGAAACAGTGTACCTGAGACTACATTAATAATAAACACCATGAATATTTCTCGAATTTATATTTCATTAGTTACACCAAACACCGTTACAGTTTAAAGTATAATCAAAAAAATGTATTTGAAATAAATGTACTCTTCTTTTTGAAACTAAAGAAAGAAATATTACTGACTAGAATACTAATAGTATCGTCGATGGTAGAATTCGGCAAATCTTGCACATGGTTGTTCAAGGCATGCAGACAGTAAGTTTCTACACTTTTCGTAACAGCTCTCTTCAGGTGTCTTGTCGCATCGACCGTCGCATACAAGTTTACGCATAATACAGTCATTTTTACAGTCACCTCCCACCATAATCCTTTTACAAATCACCAAATTGACAGAGAGTATTAGGAAAAGAACCACCTGAAGCTGTTAATGAATAAGCAAAAATCCAACTAAGATGCATTAGTTAGAAGCATTGAACTTGGAAATAAAATACATATGCCTATTGTTTCATTATTTATGCAGGTAAACTAAACTTTACAAGACTGAAATTAGACGAATTTCTCAATAAATTTAGATATAAAATAAATAATCGATTTAGTGTTCTAAAAAAAGAATTCTCTGTCTAAAACAGTCAGATCTGATATTCTTTAGGTAAATAGTGAGGCTGACATATTTTAACTACCCCAAACAGTTCTCAACGGACTCAGAACCTTATGATACTAATTCTACAGTCTGAAAGTTTTTAAGTCCACATACAAAATCTAATTCTTTATCATGAATAAAACTCGGTGGCACAGCGGTTAGGACGCTCGCTGACCATGCACATGGTCCGGAATTCGATCCCCGGCCGGCACACTGCTTTACCTTGCGAAGCCAGAAATAATGCTGGTAAAGGGGAAAGGTTGGGAATGAGGCTAGCAACCCCATCCTGTAAAACAAACACTGCTACAGAAACTTCTAGCCTCTAGCTTGACGCCCTATGTTCCACTGGGAACGTGAAGGAATAAAAAATATAACTCTTCTAACCATATTTTTCCTACAACAGGAACTTCCCCTATGAAGACTTCAGAATAAGTGCTGACTTATGAGCCAACGTAGTCTGCCTTTCACAAAGTTTAAAGTGTCAGGTAATCTGTACAAGTAAATTGACACTATATAAAATACATCCTATCACCTGTATTTTCTGAAAGCAACTTTTATTACTATTAATAATAATAATAATTTTTCTTTCACGTTCCCAGTGGAACATAGGGCTCCAAGCTAATGGCCTGAAGTTTCTGTAGCAGTGTTTGATTTTTACAGGATGGGGTTGCTAGCCTCATGCCCAACCTTTGCTCTTTACCAGGATTATTTCTGGCTCAGTGAGGTAAAGGAGTGCGCCGGCCGGGGGTCGAACCCCAGACCATATGCATGGTCGGCAAACGTTGTGCCTAGTGACGAATTAAGCAATACACTCAAGTTGGATAAATGATATTCAAAAATAAGTGTGAATGAATAGTTGAAATTGTTGTAACATACCTTCATTTCTGTTAAAACGAAACGTGAAATTATGAAACCAAGTTTTTAAATCCTCAAATTTATACGACGAACAAATGATAGTGAGGAGGAAATAATTAACATGGGGTAATTAGTGGTGCATATGAAAATGTGAATGTACGTGCAATAATAGTGTCTGCTCACATAGAGTGACAGTAGTATTTAGTAAACATGCGATTCAGTCGAAAATAACGGAAGTAGCTGGCAATTTCGGCAAGTAGATGTGCATATTAAAGATGTACAAGTTATTTTTTCAGTTATAACAGTCAACATTTTTATTTCAATAATTACTGTAATCCTTCCGCATTTGCATTCAGTGTACTTGTCTACGTACGTATTACCGCGTCCAATTTATTATTATTATTATTATTATTAATGTCATTATTAATATTACTATCGTAGTCACAGCAATTACAGTTTTTAATGTCAATAAATATTCCATTTCAACTAACACGAGTATTTTAATTGCACTAGATATTTTTTTTTAAATGTAGAATGTGAATTAACTTAGTAAGTACACGAGATAGTATTCCTGCTTTGAAAAAACAAAACAAATAAACGTTCGTCAATTTGTCCTGAAATATTTCATTTTCATTATATCTTTATTTGGTGAATAAACATCTACAGTACCTCTAACGAATTCACTCTACCATATGATTTATTCAAGCAGTAAAATTAACCATTAGGGAATGAGTATTTTATTATTTTTCCCTAAGTGTCATTCACACATTTGCCACTGATTAGGAACTGTAATGGAAAAAAGGTGAATGCTATGTAAAGTTTCAGTTAAGCCGTTAAGCAACCAATCATTTGATAGCACTACAATACCAGTATAATCAAAGTACTAGTAATTAGAATTCACTTTTCTCAAATTCTTCTCCATCTTCATTTATAATTCTCTAGTCAAGTAGAATACTTACTTACCAACACAGATTGCTCTATAAATTTATTAATTAATTAACAAGTCTAGTATTCCATGCAGATTCATTTGACGGTACTCCCATCCGTATTGTAATAACGTATGAAGCAGGTTATTGTATTTATTCAGGAAGACTCATAGTCTACAAATCGAAATTGCTTACCACAGAATGTATGATCGACTTAGCGCTGGAACTTGTACTAAAAAATTAAACATAATCTTTACTTGCTTCGAAGTTGAATGCAGAATTTATTAAATAAGTTGTAATCTAGGATTAGGTATAATTTCTTAACTACTGGAAAGTTTAAAACTAAGGCTAATGATTTAAATGAATGGAAAATCCTACTATAAATTTGTAAAAAGAAGAATTCTAAACGTTTTTATTTTGTAGACAATCATGACAAATGTGTGTGAACTTAATTTTCTATGCACATTTTTACAATTGGTGGAATGGAACGCATTAAAATAAACACCAATGGTAAAATATAGTTCATTAGCTTCTGTTTAGTTAGATACTACACCATACTAAAAATATAAACTCCTTTTAAAACCACACTCACTTAGGATTTGAAAAGACTTCTTCTAACAAAGTATTCATTTTTTTTGTATTATTTATTCTCCTGCTACAGACTACAGTAGCCTCTATGAGTTCATTATTCACTACACTAGATGATTTTCTACAATGATAACACTTTGGGATGAAATCTATCTTGCAATTAGTCGAAGCTCAAAAAGCTCAACATATAAGAATTGACGTACTGTTTGCTCACTAATGATTGTCTTCACTATGTACATACCAGTGTTCTACTTAGATGTTATGAACACGTCGAGTGTTAAAACTGATGCTCCCGAATGATATTGGTTGGAAATGATACCATATCATGAACTGAAAAAACGTAAAATGCAAGGGGCGTTCAGGACCCATATGTTGTATTTTAACAGGGTCACCTGACAACCTTAAGCTCTTGGGTTTTGATGGTTAAGGGATTTACATTTTCATTGGCAATCTGATTAGTGTTAATTTATGTAAAAGTGCATGTCGATATTTATCTTATTTAGAACTCAGCTTATTGGATTATTTGAGATATCATTTTTCGGCGAATTCATTCACATAGCTGTACAATCGCATTTATATATAATTATTTGTGTGTGTGTGTACATGAGGTTTGTCAAGTTTGGATGGTTGATCAGGTAATACAAGAATGATTTAATATAGGAACAAGGTTAATCAGACAGCAACTAAAGTAAGAGTGAGTTAGTAAGTTGGATGACGTAATATAATTGACTTAAATGTTTCAATTTAGGTCAGGGTAGCAACAGAGAGACTAAGTAGAAATGGGGTAGAGAATGCCTAATGCCATTTAAATTAGAACTGAAATTAAGCAAAGGGGTTTTAAATAACGGTCAAGAGATTCTGATGAAAATTATTCAACACCATCATTAATTAGGCAGAAACTAAAGCAAAATTAAGCAAATAGACTATGTGACGTGACATAATTAACAGGATCGAGTAGAATGCAACTGAAAAGGAAAAAGTTAAGTCAGGAACATTGTTATAAGAACTACAGATTTAGCAGTCGGAAAAAGAGAGGAGCATGTAGGTCAAATATTTCGATGAATTTAGTCTAGTGTAAGTTCAACGATTCTGGGTACAAAAGTATTCAGAGTTCAGGATTTAGCACATGGACTGTGTTATAGTTACTGCTATTTGAAGAAGTCTGGTCCATGTACATTTGTCAAGATTCTCGACTGCTCTATAGATCACTCTGAAGTTGGTGTACGAGTTAACTTGGTGTCCAAAATCGATCGCGTTCCAGAATAGAGCTGCGGTGTAATCATTTTTCTGGTATGTAAAAGCTGGAGATTAAGTGTTCAAACATACCTTAGACAGTAAACACTGAGTATGGACAGCATGTCTAGGTCTGCCTTAATATATGGTCTCTATGAGGTTGTGTTTTTATTTGATTTCGAGACTAATAAAAGCTTTCCTCAACATAGCACTCGGTTTAAGTTCCCTTAAGTTGTTTCCTTTTCTTGTGAATAATGAGCCCCTGAGAACAGACTTTTTATTTGAGCACCTCATGGTTATTCTTATCTTCTTTGGTTTAGGAGGCCTACTGTCATATTTTTCGATTATTAACACACAAAACAAAAATCATACAGAAGGAATAGAATTTAGATACTGGTAGATTACAGTTACAAAGAATATTTTTATTTGACATAAGACATACTGATACGGTATTATCTGTTTACCGTTGACGTTTCGGACACATTTCGCTGTTCGTTACGATATGTTTGTGAACAACTAAATCTACTCAAGAAGATATCATTATATAAATCAACCAGTATCACTGTATGCTGTATAAAGTGAAATTATTTATTATGAAACATGATAGCAGTTTAGGAACTTTCTAGTGACTTGAGAATTTGGCTGTCTGATCTGAATTAGCACCAGTGCCTCGCTGTTCCGTTTGGCTTCCAAAGGAGGAAGTTACTGCCTGAAGTCTAGATTACTTCGATTCAGTTGACAAATGGTCATAAAAAGGTACTTCTGCCCACACATATCAGTTACCTATAAATAAATTTTTACTTATAACCGCAATTTTGATAATGTTTATCATATTATTGATTTCTTTCAATAAAGTTGGGATGCAGGGCTTCAGCAGGACATCTGCACTATACTCTGTTCTCTATTGTCATTTTCGTTTGGTTTTATAACTATCCGCTAGTTTTCACTTCCCCTTCACCACCGGACGCCCAAATCGCCACTTCCCTTTAGGCTCCCATTCTGGGGGCTAACTTCTGAGCTCTTTTGAAGAACGCTATTCACAGTAGCAATAAATCCCACGCTCCAAACTCAAATCACTTAATTTTTGCAGGAATCCATGGTGAGAATCTATTCACACTCATATCAGCTTGCATACAATTGATCTGATCACTAGCCACAGCTTAGACTGTAAATACCTCTGAGTGTTACCTTGTAGTGTAGAAAAATACTTCCTAGTATCTTCTGTCTGAAAAATGTTTAATTTTAATAAGTGTTGAATTCTAAAGGCTTGATGAAAACGATATAAGGTTTGGGAATGGTTAAATAAATGAGAATGAGTGATAAAACTACTATTTAGTCCTAGTTCATATATACACACACAACAACGAATATATTACACGATAACTGAGAAATTACTTTGCAGGAAATCACTGGCCTCAGTATATAAATTTTTATTTCTTTACGTTCCCAGTGGAATATAGGGGTTCAAGTTAGAGCTTTGAATTTCCGATAGCAGTGGTACTTATTTTTACGGAATGGGATTGATAGCCTCATGCCTAACTTTCCCTCTTAACCAATCTTATTACTGGCTTAGCGAGGTTTGGGAGTACGTCGGCTGAGGATCGAACCCCGAACCAACTACGTGGTTGGCGAGCATTTTACCTGTGTGCTATCGACGCACATCATTATATGAACAGTCACCTAAAATTGATGTTAGTATAAGCATGATGAATTTACTACTGATCTACGTGGACTGTTTTACTTGAGGGAAAAGTGATGTCATCTAGTGCTACTGGAAATCTAACTAACTATTTATTTTAGTGGGACTGATGCTTTTAAGAAATACTGAGCTACATATGATCATAGGAAAATCTACATAGATAATGTTTGGGACTTAACTGTCAATAATCACTGCATTACAATGCATAAGCATGCAAAGTATAATAATTGTAATGTGTACTGTATCAAATAGTCGATAAGGAACAGTAACAAAACCTAATTAAGATATGAGCTATGAATGTTGAAAAAACATCAGTGGGCTTCCTTTCACTTAAGAAGAATGAAATAAAAAAGTGATACAAGAACACTGTAGTAACCATTGTAGTGTTGAGACGAACACAGCTATCATATTTCAAGTATAACCTAAAGTGCATTACCGTTTGCAGAACATAATACTTATTTGTCCTAGGCGCTACCTGAAAACGCTTTTTTCGCTATTAGAATTCTGAAGTAAAGGTAGTTCAGAATATTTACACTATTGACTATACATGACAGTAATTGTGAAGAAGGCTTGTACAGAATAAGACGAGAGGTAACAATATTAAAAAAGTACTATTTTTTCATGAAATAAATAAAATATTTTTCGCGGATTTTTTTTAGTTTTATAAAGATAAATCTTAAATGTTGAAGGGATATTATAATACAAGTTTATACAACAGGGATACTGTACAATTTGAAAAACACTATAGTTTTGAAGAAACAATCATTTCAATGCATAAAAAACTCTGCTTTTGGAATCATAGAACGCGCCATAGTCTTCCAGCGTCTTCGCCGCTTATTCTCAACCACATTCATTTTATGGATGTCATTATTTATTGGAGAAGTGGACAGACGTTGTGTCGGGACATGATTTCCAGTGTTATACAAATGTGCTTTAGATGAAGATGATGACATTGTTTGAAAGGAAAGTTCGAAGGAATTTGAAGAATGCAGCACTCTTTGAATATTTTCGTTCAAGGGCGTTTGTTCAGACCATAAATCTGAGAAGTATTCTTCAACCTCTTGAAAACTTAATTCAGGTAGCACTGGAGTTGATGAATATGACTGGTTGTTGAACTCACTTTTGTATTTCAATTTCGAATCTTAAATTTTTAAAAACATAAAAGTCTAATTTGGTTAGTAAACAACAGGGACAGTTTGTTCACAAATGTTTACTGAAATCTGGATTTTTTTTAATCTAAAAATTATCTTATAGGAAAACTGATCCTGTGAACATTCTGTAAATGTTTTCATATGACAGCGCTTCACTAATACGTTGAAACTGGATAAAATGAAGTTTAATAAATCTTTCACTGAAACTGGCATTTATTCACTCTAATGAGTTTTCAAACCACTAAAATTCAATTTCTATGAGTGAGCATATTGTTCTCAGTGAAGATTGGAGGATAAAAGTGAAATAAATCACTCATTTTACTGTTGATAAACTTCAAACTAGAAAGAAATAGCTGTCCAGTACTATTTGGTTTTGAGTAATTCTTTAACTAATGTAAATTTGTGATCTAACTTTAAATCCATCAAATTTCTACAATCTTTAGTCTTAAATATCCTAGGATGCGTGTCTTCAGAAAATATCAATTACTAGCACACTAAACGGGTGATAATAATTCTTTAGACTTATTATTAAGTCGCCACTGAGATATTCATTCTATGTCGTGGTTTTTTTCTGTACATATTGACACTTTTTCTAATGCTATCAAAAATTAAATCTTGAGATTATCAAAATCTGATCAGAACTTTTTTATTCAGCCTTCAGCTGCTATGATCTCCGGTAATAAGTATGTACTGTATCGTCAAGACAAGTTTATTGGTCAGTGTCTTGCGTTAATGGAAATAGCTTATACTGTCTACATATTTAGGTTTTAAATCATGGCGTACAACTATTAATAATTAGAAATGCCTCAAACCTTGGTTAAATTCACATGAATATTTATTTACCAGGCTTCTAAATAAATGGGGCAAAGTTAAACTTTAAGCACCACTAACTACCAATCAGCGAATGACCCCGAACGCACCAATCACTTCAAGGAGACATTTTTGTGTATGGAATACATACATATATTTATGAAATAATGCATAAAAATTGTAGGAAAGTGTTACAGAGGATACCTTCCTTTCATATATGGTAATAAAAACATCTGCATTCTGGGTAAAATTTATTTTGATAAAGTTTCACAGTGTTATACAGTAATATTTACTGGTGACGTCTCGAGCACAATGTATTGCTCAGTGAATATTACTGTATAACACTATGAGACTTTATCAAAATAAATTTTACCCACAATGGAATTATACTCTACCACAGTGCACATGTTCTATTCTTATAGATATATCAGCAGAGTGATTTAACCACATTCTATGCATGTAATTATTTAGGTCTTCTTACGCTAACAATAACCCTAATCTTTCAGGAACCTAACCCTAACGTGAAAATATATCCCTAAACTAACTGTAATCTAACTCGAACCAACCCTAATGTTGGTTTTATTAGGTTAACCTAACCCTAACTCGCCCTTGGATTAAAGCGTAACTTAATCTTTTCCAAACCTAAGCTGTAACTTGCCTGATATCCCATTTAATGGCATAACACTTCTATGAGCATATTTTATTGTTGATAACAACATTATTTGCCAGGTTCCACTAATCTGCTCAGTGAGTTTTTCAAGGTTATTGATGCGGTCGCATTCCATTAGTAGTTAGTGGTGCTTAAAGTTTAACTTAGCCATAAATGGTCAGGCTCAAACTAATAATTTAAAATAGTTTAGTAAGTATGTAAGCCTATTACTACTTCTCCCTGTGTAGCAACAGATGGCGCTTACATTGAATGCTATTATGATGGTCTGACAAAGTGGAAATCATTTCTATAAACAACTCAGTACACTTTTCGGTAACATATAATAATCTTAGAAATAGTTAAGCAAAAATTAGCATGGATTCGGTGTTCTTCACTCTAGCGTATTCTATTTATTTAAGGTGAAACTGATTGAGTGACTTTAAAGTTCAAAATGCATTTAGTCTCAGTTGTGATCCCACTAAAATGTAAAGAAGATGGAGAATATAAGAGCAGCTAATCTCATTACACTGGCCTCCACTTTAGCAGTCACCCTCAATGTAAAATAAACCTAAGAAAATAATGCTATCCCGTATTAGAATGTAATACTGTACTTCGACGGGTAACATACGGATCACTGTGCAGTTTTAAACTTTATCATAAAGAAAAATAAAGAACTTCTAATTCCCAAATATATGGATTCCCGTAACACTAAAACATATAGTAGAAACCCACTGGATCACTGCTGAAGTTCGACACTAACTTGGGTGGCTGTCAAACACAGTTTTAATTTGCATTTTTCCCTTTAAGTGTGTTTGAACAGCTTAACCAAAATGTCATTCATCTTCAGCTTTGAATAATAAGGAAAGAAAGAAAAACATCATTTTACACTCACCGACACTCAGCATTTGAATTAAACGGAGTATTAGGTTGACTTAAACAGAAGATTTATCAGTATAATCGAAGAATGTTTCTTGTATAATTTATTCGAAAATTTGTGCTATGGAATTAAATCCGATTGGCTTAAAGCAATCTCTTATTTTGATATATAGTCAAGATAAGTGACAAGATATTACGCTAGGAATTCATATAAGCGATAAATTTCCGTCTCGGTAAAGCTTTTATAAGAATTTATTAGCGTCATACTGAGTCATGGGTCACCATATTTTTCTGTAATTAATTGTAAAGGTCAAAAAATTTGATAGGTCGAACTTAATGTCACATGCCACAAGATCTTTCTAATAATGTAACTAACAGGTAGGCGTTGAGAAAAAGTCAGAACGTGATAATTGAATTTTAAAGAAGCAGAGAAAAAGATGAAGTATATTCAGTTCAGAAAAAGATATTTCAGTTTTAAATTTTAAAAATTAAAAAGGTGAACTTTACCTAATTCACTACAAAGATAACCGATTACATAATTCCGATATATCAAGCTTGTACTATAAATTCTAAAATGGATTCTGAATAAGGATTAAGTGAGGACATAAAGCTCATAGAGAGTTTGTCTTATTAAGTATCAAGTTTGATCAGTCGGTAACTATTGGAAACCAGTCAGAACTAGACAGCTGTTTCTTTCTGGCTTAGAACTCATCATCAGTACATTTCCATGAACCCTCCGGGCGGGATCTTCTGGTTATGAGGTCAAGTTTGACTATGATTCAATGACCAGTGAATTCTCATTTCCTTCAGTTTGAGATTAAGTATACTTTATAAACCCTTAAAAGAAAGAACTATCACTGTATATTACCGCTTATGTCGTTTGCTGTTGAATACTGCAAAGACAAACAGAACCAGAACTGGTTAATACAGTTGACTAATTGGGAACAGGTCAACAGATTAAAAGTATTTTTTACCCAGGAACAAACTCAGTGAAATAATTTTTCACTTTTCTCCTCGTGTATTCGTTTTTTTTTAATTTCTGTACATTTTCCCTCACCGACCCCTTTAAGCACATCATCAAACCTAATATCGTGAATATCATCATATATAAAATAGAAATCAACCCAAAACTAACGAGTTTCAGATTTCGAAGAGACGTCTGTTCAGTGATGGTCAGTCCTCATTTGTGCTGTGACAACTTTTCAGATGACTAAAAGAACGACTCGTTATTTGTCCTTAAATAAGTAGATGACTTTCCTATTATCAGTTCTAAAAGCTGGCTAGATGAGGCAGGAAATTTGCTAGTTGTTTTCATTTTTTGCCCTATCGAGGAATATATTGTCATGTTAATATTTTGATGAATATTTTCGTAAAATGAAGGGCTTTTAATTTATTTTTGTCAGAATAAAATACCTTGCTTAACAATTGATTCAGAAATGTCGTGTCAGATGCTCAAATAAACTGCATACACCAAACATCTGTAATGCAATACTTTTCTGTTTTGTAACCGGTTGAAGTTTCGTGTACTGCTAACGGAGCAACCTCGATAGTACACACTAAAACGGAAGTGTTAGTGAGAAATTACACCTACTGTCACTGAGTGGCATCTATTACTGTTGAATACATAAGTGTGTGGCGAACGATTACACCAGTTGTCTACATTTAGGCTTCTTTTCTGTCTGCGGCATAGCTTTAGAGATAGTGATTTTCTTAGCTATACTTCTTCGTAGAAAAGCCTTCCTGCTTATTTTTCACCTGTATGCCCTCGTACTTTGGCATAAAATGTGATATTTTGTAAAACTCTAATAGCCTTTTCGTTCCCAGTTTAAACCTGTCTCAGTGATTGTCGTATACTCCTAGGTAATCGATTAACTACTTTTATTTACCTCAATTCTGATAACTTGTTCTATGTAAGAAATTATTTACAATGGTAGAATAAAGTTATGAATAGACAGAACCGACTTTTCTCGGATAATCTTAATGAATAACCACATTAACGCTTATTTATTAAATTCCGAAGACTGTCGAACTTTAGCCGAACGAAATCATACTATTTTATTCAGTTAAATAATTGTTTGGTTTTCTGTGACAGATTCCTTTGTTATGGTTAACTTCCGATGAACTATTACGAAGGGAATTGCATATTTCTAGTAACATAACGGGAAAAACATAATATTAAGATTCCTTAGATTTACGTTGTACACACTTTGATACAAAGTCTCAGAAGCCATTAAAAGGAAATTATCTATAGGCACACAGTATCAGAGTTTAAATTACCTGCTCGGTTTACTTCAAAGACTATATCTTCTAAGTCAAATTACGTCGTATGTTATGTGTCACTTGTTCAATTAACTTTTAGTAAACTCTGTAAATTAAAAGTCAACCAGTTTGAAGTTTTCAGTATTTTGTTCAAAGTCAATAAACTTTTGTCTCTTATGTGTATCTTAAAGTATTCAGGGCACAGTTGAGTAAATAAAAGTTTCCTGTGTTCATTTTTAGCTGCTTCCTTTTGGTTAGAAATACAGCAATAATCAATAAGTCAGTCTGGATTTCGGCTTTCTACTACTCATTGAAGTAAGTTATCACTCCACATTTAGCTCTATAATTATCTGCATTTAACTGATTATGATAACTATAAATCTGATAAACCTCTGATGATATGTGTTATGAAGTTAAGACATCATCAGAGTAGTGAAGGCCATTGGCAACAGGCGTGTAGGAATTGAACTAACCTAAAACTACTAATGAGAGAAAACATATTTTTCCCTAGTCCCAATGTAGTCCCAACCACAGATAAAAAATAAAACTCACTTAGCACTCTGATCTCATAGACCTACAAAACCTGTAAATACTGAACCAGCTCGTAAAAGTGTAGATAATACTGATTCGTGAACTTCAACGATGCTGAAGTCTTCTCAGGTTTTAATGAGGGGTGGGGTTAACCTGTTTTATGAAAGACCTCAACACTACTTGTTTACTAAAACAATTTTGAAACTCTATTACCTCATCTCCTGGATTAAAGTGGGTAGTTCAAGCAGATTAAATGATGACTATATTGAAAACTCCTGTGGCGTATACCTGGGGTTCCAGTGGCCCAATAATCTACGGGGTCGCCCTGTAGCCAGAAGGTCCCGGGTTCGAACCCTGGAGGTGGGTGCGTACTGCTGCATGGCCGGTCCAAAACTAGGACGAAAAAGCTGTCCAGAACTTCCATATCTTTTTGAGCGTCGGTGGCACAGCCGTTAGCATGCTCGTCGACCATGCACATGGTCCGGGACTCGATCCCAGCCGACACACTCCTTTACCTTGCTAAGCCAGAGATAATAATGGTTAAGAGGAAAGACTGGGTATGAAGCTAGCAACCATCCATCCTGTAGAAATAAACACTGCTACAGAAACTTCTAGCCTCCAGTTTGAAGCCCTATGTTCCACTGGGAACGTGAAGGAATAAAAAAAATGGCAAATGTCAAGTTATTTTCATTTCAGGATTTCATCATGAGCTGACATTAGTTAGAGAACCATTGGAAAACCTGGGAGTACTGGACAGCTGTTTCGTGCTAGTTTGGGACTCTTCGTCAGTACGCACCCACCAGGATTCGAACCCAGAACCTTCCGGTTACAAGGCGAGCTCGTATACCATTAAGCCATTGGGAAGTTCCTAGATTCGAATCCCGGTGGGTGCGTACTGACGAAGAGTCCCAAACTAGCACGAAACAGCTGTCCAGTACTCTCAGGTTTTCCAATGGTTCTCTAACTAATGTCAGCTCATGATGAAATCCTGAAATGAAAATAACTTGACATTTGCCATTTTTTTTATTCCTTCACGTTCCCAGTGGAACATAGGGCTTCAAACTGGAGGCTAGAAGTTTCTGTAGCAGTGTTTATTTCTACAGGATGGGGTTACTAGCCTCATTTCCAACTTTTCCTCTTTACCAGCATTATTTCTGGCTTAGCGAGGTAAAGTAGTGTGTCGGCCGGGGGTCGAATCCCAGACCATGTGCATGGTCGGCGAACGTCCTAACCGCTATGCCACGTCTGTATAATCCGTATATAATTTGAAAATAATCTGTAACATACAGCTTCGTCTTATGTTTCTCTCTCTCTCTCTAAATGCGTATCATGTGATGGTTTGTGTAATACTGACACCAATAGACTAAGCTGTGATACTAAACTTAATCCGTGATTGCACGAGTTACTAGTTAATTTTAATTTTAAGGAATAACCGGAAAATTTTTCAGGTGAAGACAAAACACAAAAATTCAAAATTGGCTTTAAAAGTAATCAATGCAGTAAAGATAACTTCTTGGAGAAGTGTACTCCTTCGTATTATATAACAAACAGTATGTAAATGTTATAGTAGTTGGAAATATGATTCTGTTAGTAAAATTCTTCCAATGATAAAAACAAAGACAATCTCGACTCGAGTGAAAATTATCACTGACACTTAAATATGCATGAATTATAACTTTCTCAACCAACACATTTACTCGAATAACTCCGTCAGGTGTTTTTATCACTGATCAATCAACGATGTTTACGCAGCAAAACTTTCTATCAGAGTTAAATAACTCGTTCTTAAGAGTGTACATTAAATGATACCTTTTACTCATCAATTGTTTTTTTTTTCCTTCACGTTCCCAGTGGGAAATAGGGCTTCAAGCTAGAGGCTTGAAGTTTCTGTAGCAGTATTTATTTTTACAGGATGAGGTTGCTTGCCTAATGCCCAACTTTTCCTCTTTACCAGTCGTATTACTGGCTAAGTGAGGTAAAGGAGTGCGTCGGTCGGGGATCGCACCCCGGACCATGTGCATGGTCGACGAGCATGCTGACCGCTGTGCCACCCACGCACCATCAATTGTTAGTCAAAGCTTAATATCGTAATGTCGTATTATTTTGAAATTTTGCATAAAACGCCAGTTCGGCATCCATTTTTTTGCTTTATGAAGTAGTCTAGTAGGAAACAAGCAAAAAAAAAAAAACAAACAGTTCACACGAGTAATGCAAAGAGGTCAATGCACCGTTGATTTTC